TTTAATATAACTCCGACTGGATTCGTCTGAAAGAAGAAAGTCATATACACCTAGGATGACTTGAGGGTGAGTAATGTATGGGCTAATTTTCATTTTTGGGTGAACTAACCCTTTAATGGATGCTGTGATTGAGTTTGTCTGCGGGTGAACGTGTCTCTCAATCCTGAAATCAACACCTGAGAGCACGAAATAAAAAGTCTTAAAGTAATTTTGTAGCTGGTGCTTTTCAGATTCAGATATTCTCCGTGTGGTATGTTTTCAGAGCGTGATCATGGGAAATAAATTCAGATGTCATTTGAGCATCTCAAAAATTTGAGGTTAAATAATGAGTGTCATTTTCCAGCCACTGATTAACCAGCATCTCTTTAGCATAGTAATACATTATTCATGATTGTCATCACGTTAATTACCTCTTCCCCCCATTAGCAAAGAAATTAATGAGGCTATTTATATTCTGACATGGCTGAAGGCAAATGGAAGACATGAAAATGAAAAGAGCTTGTTGAATATTGAATATCAGTCTTTTTTGGGGTACATCCATTTGTCATACGCTCTTGAAAATAAACGTTCTCGTCACTGATGGTTCCATGAAGAACCTTTAACATCCATGGAAACTTTTCCACTGCAAAAACTGTTCATTAGATCATTAAAATATTCTTCACGCTAAGAACAAATTGGTTCTTGTGAATAAAGGAAAAATAAAGATTCTTGATTGGCATTGATGGTTCCATGAAGAACCTTGGAACATCCATGGAAACTTTCCATTGCACAAACGTTTCTTTAGATTATTAAAATGTTCTTCAACACTCTTAAAAATAAAGGTTTCAAAGGAGGTTTTCGCAATAATGCCATAGAAGAACAATTTTTGGTTCCCCAAAGAGGCTTTCTTAAAAGAATAATTTTTCTTAGTGTTAAGAACATTTTAATAGTCTTGTGATGTAGTAAATGCTTACAATTTTGCATTTGAGACAATTGAGATTCCGTAGCAGTAGCGCTAGGAATGTTGGGGAATTTGTTTGGGTGCCAGTTGGGCGGAAGTAAAAAAATAAGTAAAGTGGTGGCTAGAAGACAAACGTGCCGTCTCACGTGTATTCTTTTTAGTGGATACATCACAAGTCTAAAGCTTTTTTCCACTATAAAGAACCTTTTGTCCAGTGGAAAGGTTCCATGGATGTTAAAGGTTCTTCATGGAACCACAGATGCCAGCCTTTATTTTTAAGAGTGTAAATTTTGTTTGTACACCGTCAGAATATTTGCACTGCATTTATGGATTTGTTGGACAAAAAATAATGATAATTTTCTGCAGTTTATTCTGTTCTATAAACAAAACCTACAAATGTGCTAATTAACAATCTCTGCATAATCAGTATTGCATATTTAAAGCTACAGTGCATTATTTCAGCACGACTAGAGTCTCCAAACAGAATAATGACTGCTTTCGAACAGGTTTCCCAAACACTGGTCCAGTATGAATGCATCTTAGCAGTTCAATCACTGTCAGTCCGAACGGCCGATTTCAGAAGTCTCAGAGACTTCCTCTGAGGTCAGTCCTTGATGTCAGCTGTCTGGATGCCAAGAAAAACTGTCTCCATGTCCTTCTGTTTACCTTTTTATACAGATAAAATATCAGCTTCCCACATTTGACCGTAACTAGTATAAGAGAAACCACACTAGTGAGGAGTACGCAACATGTTTGCTATCAACCTTCTTGAAACTGATTAAACTAGTTATCACGTGGACTTTAGATAACAACACTAGACCAGACTGTTTTTATTACAGACTAATCTGCATTCAACAAGTACATTTCTGCGGGAAAATCATAGTATTGCCATAGTACCATATCCAGAAGACCTTTGATAATATCATGGTACTTTTTAGTTAGTGGAAAAACCTTTACACTTATTTGGATTCCCATTTTGTATAATACCTTTTCTAAAATACTATAGTATTGTCATGGTACATCTCCAAAAACATAGTATTGCCCTCAAAATACTACAGTATTGTCATGGCACATCTCCAAAAACATAGTATTGCCCCCAAAATACTACAGTATTGTCATGGCACATCTCCAAAATAGGGGTGGAACGGTTCAACTTACTCACGGTTCGGTTTGAACGGTTTTAGAGTCACGGTTTCAGTATGGTTCGATAAGTGCTATGTTTAGGCAAACACTATACTGTCAAATAAAAATAAAGAAAATAAGAACAATCTAACTACAAGCAACAGCACAAATAAATACAATAGAGTAAAGATACTAATAAAATAAACAGTGATTTTCACTAACATTAGTTTTCGGGTACAGAAATTGAATAAAGTAATCATTGCATATTTGACTGTATAAATTAAAGATGAATCTTTAATAAAGTTACAAAAGCTATTCATTCAAGAGCAGTGAGTGATTTCTTTGTTGTTGCTGTTTGATTAATATTAAGAAAGTGCTGTCACTTTAAGAGAATGCACTGATCCAGTGCACTGATACAGTACGTTCAGCCGGCTATGTCTGCTATTGGATACTTACCAAGACGGGCATTTTGACATCATTTTTGTGTGAATTTGTCCATTTAAACACAATACTTCAGAGAGCTTAATATTTGCGTGCATTCTGAGGCGCGGGTTTGCGCGCTTCGAATGAGCGCACGCACAAAGCTTCTCGCTTGCGTCCTCTGGCTCTTAAATGTTTAAACTGGCAAAGCTTAAATGAGTTTAGCTTAAACACAGATATCAACGTGTGCTGTTCAGGTCTCACCTGTGTGCGCGCTATCAGTACCTGGGTGATGACGGAATAAATGATCATATTCCAGCATACAGCATTCGCATTGAACAAGAGTGAATGGTTTGTCCACGTTTTTTCACGTTTTTTTTTTTCATTGCTGTTGTTGTAATGTTTTGGGAAGCCAGAAAGCGCATCCATCAACAGAAACATATATTAGCCGAACCCTATTTGTTTTACCTGTTATTTACAGCAAACCATACTGTATATGACAGATGCGTTGTCAGATTTAAGTTGAACCGCGGTCCTAGTGCGTGCCGAACCATGTGTGGAGAACCGTACGGTTCGATTTTTTTACGCGAACTGTTCCACCCCTACTCCAAAAACATGGTATTGCCCCAAAAATACTATAGTATTGTCATGGCACATGTC